CCCTATTGGGGATTCCCAAACAACGATGTGCCCTGGGGATAACAAGCTCGTTCAGTGTCCGTCTGAGGGCACGTATGAGGCGGAAACAGAACGACTTTTTCGAAATACCCCACCAAATTAAATTGAAAAATTTACACCCACTTAGCAAGTACACTAGTACATCAAGCAGTACGTTACTACATTAACTACATTAATGGAATCAAATGTTATGTCTCGTTCCAGGATTGGAGAATGCACCTAGAGCAGATGGGTACACTACACAAGACCATGTCGGAACTTGTGGACGACGTTTCCCCGAAATTGGAAGAGGTAAGCGTGAAGAGTAGTTAAGCGCACTTCACAATGAGATTCAAACCATGCTGACCTTACCAGTGGCGTCCGGTCCACCAGTGTGTGATCATCGTCCTAGAAGGGAGTGGTCCACCAATGAGGGAGGGTCAGTGGTAGAACGACTCCTCCCATACAATCTGAGTGTGCTCTATCTCCGAATAGAACGAATCAGTTCAACCTTATAACTATTTAAAGTAACTTTCAGATTGCGGATGAGGTGGAGAAGTCGTTAGAAAGGATTGAAACTCGAGAACGGACGTTGAATCAGCAATTGGGCGTTTGGATGTCTCGCTATAAGGAATCTCAAGACGCGAGAGCAGAAGTCCGAGAGAGATACAAGTATGTAACTTACCTTCTAGTATCCTCAAACGTAAGGATGATTGGCAAGGAGGGGAGGGCGATTGGAGCGCAGCCAGGGCGGCATTTTCCACCAATTGATGCCATCTTGAGCTGCCAAAGTTGGTAATTAAGGCTGAATTGGTTGCGCTCCAATCCACGCCCTCACGGTTGCAAAACTCTCGTGTTTAGCTTCATTATCTCGGCCATTCAAATGAAGGAAAAGGTATATCTTCGAATGCGTATTCACGATGGTCAATGCAAGGAGGATTTTCGCTTACTTGTTCGCGGGGAGTGTCTTTCATTCTTTTGAAACAGACGTTTTTTATGGACCAACCTGGTCGTACGGGGAATTCAGCCCACCGTCCTGCCTTCATTTTTGTGCCCCTTTTCTCTACGACGTTATAGAGTTGAAGCGTGGCCATGAAGAGTACACACGGTAGGCCTGAATCCGCCTTTGCTATAAGCGTGGACTGTATCGACGAGAACGTAACTTTGCTTCTATGGTTACTAGGCCATAGTGACTGAGGGCGGAAATGGGCAGTTGCAAAGTGAATGAGATAATGCCTATTTCTAGCAGTAATTGAAAGTCAGGATACAGTTCAGCTTTCCCTATGAAGCGATAGGGGTAGGTTAGATGTGGTCAGGGACTTACTTGAAAAATGGCGGTACTGAATTGGGTCGCCTGCATTTACACATTTCTACTTAAGGAGTCGGCCGTTCGACCTTTCACACATTAAAATTTCGATTGTTCTGAAATATAGGTTGGAAAGAAAGTCCTGTCAGTGTTTTTAGATAGCCTACAGTTTTTGATCTTCGGAAGCTCGAACATGACGTAACATGCTAAGGTTGTAGAACATTCTCGAAGCTTTTCCACAAGAGGTATATCAAGGCTCCTGCTCTTCCCTGTGTTTATTTATGATGTCAGTTTCACTGGAGCAGCTTCGAGTGATCATCTTCTATGAGTGGCGCCGCGGCACTGGAGCGACGGCAGCGGCCCGTAACATCAACTGTGCATTGGGGGAGGACACCACCACCGTCAGGACTGTCCACCGTTGGTTCGCTCGCTTCGCGAAAGGAGAGACGATCTTCGAAGACAAACCTCGTCTGGGACGCCCTCGCGGCGTAGAAGGTTCCACCGTTCTCGAAACTGTCAGAGAGGATCCAGAGGCTACCACGCGCAGTATTGCGACAAGGCTAGGGTGTAGCCATACAACAGCTCTAAACCGCCTTCAGGCCCTTGGCTACAGAAAAGTCCTCACGCGATGGATACCTCATGCTCTAACAGATGGCACGCGGTATGCCAGGGTGAGCATCTGTCGATCCCTCCTTCTACACCGTAACCGGAAGGAGTTTCTGGAAGATATGGTGACTGGAGATGAAAGCTGGGTCCTCTATGATTCCAACCTACGTCGTGCCATGTGGCTCCCTCGAGGAGAAGACCCGCCTACGCAACCCAGATCGAACCTGCACTCCAAGAAGGTCCTCCTCTGCTGCTTCTGGGATTCGAAGGGCATGCTGCACCACGAGCTGCTTCCGCAAGGGCATACGGTTACCGCTACCGTTTACGCCGCCCAACTCCAGAAACTCGCGCAAGCTCTTCGAGAAAAGCGCCGAGACGACGAGCTTCGGTGCACCTCCTCCATGATAACGCCCAGTACCAACATGTGGCCCTAAAGACGGCCCACCGCCACAATTGAGGAAGCTAGGCTGGGAGACCTTTCCCATTCGCACCAATTCTCCAGACCATAGCCCCACTCGATACTTACTTGCTCCGCCGACTCCACTCAACTCTTTTTAGGTAAGAAAAACCTCAGCCAAGTGATGCTCAATCGAGAAGTTGCCTACTTCTTCGACTCGCAGCCTCCTCAGTTCTGGGAGAAGGGGATAGCTGAGTTGCCCATTAGGTGGAGCACTGTAGTGGCTAACAATGGCGATTATATTATTGATTAGTTTTTATTTCATGTTGAGTTAGAAAATAAAAAAGAAAAAAAATCACAACAGTGACAGGACTTTCTTTCCAACCTATACAATATACGTCCTCCCGCGTCATACAAGATCTGAGAAAAACCCCACTCCTCTAGTGGGCAGCGTCTACACAACTATAACTATAAAAAATATATACAACTACATTTCTGATTGTTGGAACAAGCAGTTAGTTGCTGACAACCTTACCCCCCCCCCCCGCCTCCGCTCGACAGCGAAATTTCAGGGAAAAAATAGAAAAACTGCGAGAATTTCCGCGGAAATTCGGAAAAAGTGTTAAGAGAGGTGGCGAAAGTCCAGGAAAACTGGTAAATAGGTAGGATGGGTCGGGGTTGTATCGGAAGAGGGAATTAGAGAGGGAACTGTATTTTCCGGAAATCTTCTTCACGACGTGCGACATGCACGAGCATACCGCTTAGCAAAGAGGAAACACATTGCAAATAAACATCGATGACAGACTTTACACAAGTCAGTTTTCCACCTCATAAGTTCTATATCTTTAAGAAGCCGAGAGCAATGCTACAGCTGAACCAAAGGGCAGTCTATCAACAGAGATGCTTATAAGTGAACTTTATAGAATATTTTATTCCGAGCACATCAGTCTGTATCTGACTTTCGAGGTTTTTCATGTAACTATGCGACTCCATAGGCTTCAGCTGCGTATGATACCCTCTCCTTGAGCTGAGCTTGAAGAAGGCTCTGTTCGAGAACACCTATTTGCACATTCATTCGTTGAATCTCCTCTTCGA